CTGCTCAGGCGCTGACAAATGCCATGGCGAGTAAGGAAAAAGGCGACTGTACTAGCCTGACCTTACCTGAGCCGAGAGGCTTACAACAACAACAACAACAACAACAACAACAACAACAACAACCTCAACCTATCGCAAGCACCATGAGTATCAGCATCAGGATCAGCATCAGTCGTCATCACTCATTGTTTGCACCCTTCTTCAACACCAAGATGACAACACTAGCGCTACGATGATGAGCCCCAATCGTGCTGGTCGCCGCGATCTGGATCCGAGAACAATGCATCAATCAATGCTTAGCACTCTTTGGCAGACTGCCGAAAAGTCGATCGCCAGACCTTCCAGCTCACTCCAACTCCCCTGCCCAGCCCACGGTGCAAGTCGGTAGCCAAGCCTAGACAGGCATCAGATGAAGTCGCATGAATCTGAAGACAAACCTGCGAACCTCCGCTTTGCTACGTGCGTGTGCGCGTTCGAAACACTAGGTCTTCTCTCTTCAGCAAGAGCCCAGCGTCCGTGCCCATGTTTTTGTATGCAGACATGGACAGGGCTCCACTTCCACCCGACACCGCCCATCCAAACCCTGAACCTGAAACCAGGAAAACTGAAGCCACCGAAAACCCTGAGCCCAGTAAGACAATTGAAGATAGACAGATAAATAGACAGCTAGAAAGATAGACAGGCAGGCAGGGAGGCAGGCAGGGAGGGAGGGAGGGAGGGGAGGGAGGGACGGTAGGTGCATTGTCTAGCTGGCACGGGGTTGCCAGCTTCGAGCACCGCGACTTTTCCCACTTTTGTGAGGGAAGCTTCCCCTCAGAGTGACAGGCGCGCTGTACACCAACCAAACTAAAAGAATACCAGGTCCGACGCTCGCTGAACGTGCGGTGGGATTGACCGAGATTGGTTCAAAAGAGTGCACCATCCTCAGCATGAGTCTGAACTGTGCGCGCATATCGGCGCGATAGAAACAGAGACACTTGTCGTCATCTGCGCCTTTACAATTGAAACATGAATGCCTTGTGCATCCTTGTACCCTACACACTACACCCTGAATGCTCGTCCTAAGCCGTCATGGATCTCACGCTTCCAGCTTCGGCTTCTGTAAAGGACGAGCTGGACCCGGAGGCAGCCGCAAAGACCTCTCGAGGAAACATGATTCATTTCGGTAGCCTGGTGTCCGCGATTTCGATTACAAGTGTGATGCTGCCAACTCTCGGTACCACGACTCATACGCCCCTAAATCGTGCTCGCTGTACTACATGGAGCGGCCGGCCTTGACATAGTTGATCTCCCAGTATGCCTCCGAAAGGGCATTGGCATTAGCTGGGTCCTTCACGTAGTCGATGCAAGCAGAAGTGCCACCTGGAAAGTCACTTCCTGCCCAGTCGCCGCAGAAATCCAGGTTGATCACCAGGACCATGTCGTCGAAGTGGTAGGACGGACAGTCGGATCCAAACGGAAAGGTCACATAAGGCTTTCCCCAAGTCGCCGAGTCGGGCGTTTCGCTGGTGATGTCTGCTGGAATCTGACCTCTGGGGAAGAACCACATCTGGATTCCACTTGTGGTCCACTTAGTGGCGAAGACGCCGCCACCATTCTCATTGAACACTGAGCCACCGCTGCCGGCAGGACCATCCAGTCCGCAGCCCTCGTTCCCATTGCCAGCGTTGCAATTAGGATTGAAAATCCTGACGCGTGCAATGTGGACCCTAGGAGACTGAACCAACATTTTGTCAGTATAAATAAACCCGAAACCCAAACCTCAGGACACAGGGACTGTTGGGCACCGAGGCTCCCGGAGACGCTTGGCATGCGGCAGCCGGCACTGGTGTGCAGGGTCGAATGCACGTAAGTCTCAATCTCCACCGTCTCGATGGTGTCAATCTCTCCGTTCTTCGGCCAGTCGGGTCCGTAAGACCACCAGGCAGGCCAGGTTCCTTCACCTCCGAGCTTTCACAAAGCATGAAACCCCAAACCCTAGATAAAACCCCAGGACACCCCCACCTGTTGGCATATGCTTGATGTCAATGACGAAGATGTGTCCAGGAGAGAACCGTGTCTGCGACTGTAGTCGGACAGCCTGTGAGAAGGGCTCGGGACAAGAAACCGGGTCACTTTCCTTGCTTGCACATATACTACACATATACAGAAGCCGTGGCCGTGCAGGCAGCAAATCGAGCCTTCACTGGCTGGTTTTGGCCGACGAGGCTGCCAAGCCTTACGGCTCCGTCTTGCAAGCTGTAGAGACCCAGCTGCTTGGCCTCTGTTTCCGACACCTTGCGCGAAGTGAGTTTGCATGAGGGCCCCCTCGAAGTGGCACCCGATTGAAGAAAAGCTTCTAAGAACAAGGAGAACGAAACTGAAGAGACCTGACTGAATTTCCCGAAACACAACTACCAAGACTATGAGGACACCAACACTCTCGGAAAACTGAAGAAAATAAACGCAGACCGAATGATTGAGGGGTTGCGTATTTGATGTAGCCATGAGTGGGATCTGCCTCGGTATAGAATGTCCAGCATTCCAGGAAGCCTTCCCCCGAACAGCTTAGCTGCACAGCAGCCGGAACAGTCTTGTGACTCGGCACCCACACGTCTGGTGTGGGCTTCTTACGGATGCTTGTGGTGGTTTCCGTAGTCTTCGTTGCATTCGAAGTAACCGAGTGCGAAGAGGAGTGATCACAACAGTAGAGGTAAACACCCTCGATCGTTGGGCAACATGCTCCGGCAAGTTTCAGCTTGCTGCAGTGCGGGCTGGCTGCACACGACGGGTCACTACGTTTCACCAGTTGCAGAAGGCCTTGCACGTCGTCTCGACACTCTGTGACATTGCATGCATGCGTGCCCAGAGCCAAAAGCACCAGCAAAGAAAGAGGTGTCATTGCCTGTGGCATTCTCTACCACAGCAACGTCGAGATAACGTATGTTCCTTCTGGCTTGAACCGAGAAAATATCTGGCGCGAGCCCGGCTGCAATCGAGGGAGCCAATTAACATACAGGCCTGACCGGCGAGCTTTTGTCGTATATTCTTAACGTCCCGAAAAGTCTTTCATATGAGCATAAGCACCTCTTAAGCACTTATTTCATTACGTGGGCTTGCTCTTAAATACTACGAGCAACATCTGAGAGTTTTGCTGTGGCACAGATGCAGTATGCTGCATGAGAAGTACTGTCTAAACATGTTGTATGGTGTCTAACATGCCATACAGTCGACCGATTAGGGACTGTGACGTCGGACCGCACACAATCGCCCTGGAGGCGTAGAGGTACCTGGCGAGCACAAGCGAGGACCCAAAGTGTATCCTGCACATAAACCGTAAGGCTTGGAGCCCTTCGCGCACATGCGTAGTTCAACACTTCTCCATTCAAGGACCAGGCGAGATTGCCTCGTAATGGAGGTCCTCACAACCAATGCAGGACTGAAAAAGGTCTGTTAAGCATACTACCCGTATTATACTTAAACATACTGATTCATCTACTTTATTCATGCATGGACCTGCCCACCGGCCTTCCAACAGCAGGCACAGCGACTCTCCGAGGCGTGAAAGGATCTGGAGCCCTGGCTTGCGGGAGACACCAGAGGCGACAAGAAGGCCTGGTTCCCGAGTTCTTGCGACAACCAATGAAACTAGAAGGAAGGAGGCAGCTCAGAAGGGAGCTACGAGGATGATATTGGACAAGAGGTGCTGCAAATCTGAAATGGGTCAGTCAAGTAGTCCGCATCCCTCGCACAAACACCAGGCTGCGCAGGCAGGGAAGAGGAATGTGAGGTACACATTCTCACATACGAGCCCGAAGTGGCTCCCAGAAAGATAACCAAACCCAAGACAGACAAGTGTTGCAACTCGAAATCGATGGCAGCAGAAGACGGTCGCGAAAGGTCAGACGGAGAACGCTGAAGGAGACCGCGATACACGAATGATGAATAAAGTGTGCCGCAGGGCCAGGCGTTCTCGACTAGACATCACATCAGAGGAGACAAGAAGATACCAAATGCAAGGTGAAGTGTGTCTCGGACGGGACGAAGCATCGAGCTGGAAAAGGAATACATCACAATAGCATAATCAGAAGCCATATCGAAGCTAGATATGAGACAGGAGAAGTGTAGTCAGAGCATGCGCCAGAACTGCTGCAGCTTGTCTAGGTCCCAGGTGTCCATCTACTGGCGTCAGCTTCCATGATGAATCCCGACACGGTGGACAGTATCTCGAACAAACATCATAGCCGTCACAGCGGCCTGGAGGGCAAGACCACTGTTGAATGGCCTCCGCTTCTTCGGAAGCTCTCTGAGCCAAGGATGTGTGGGCGTGCTGCATGAACACATTATCACACTCAAATGGCCCTGGCTCAGTTTCCGCATGGTTGGAGCAAAGGACCTTCACGGGGTGGTCGCATGCTTTCGGGTCAGCTGGGCCCGTGTCCCCGATGTGGAAGCAAGAAAGCTTCTTCCGGTCTTTTGTTCGTTAACTGCACGATGCTCCCGATGCTGGCGGCTTGGTCTCTTAAGCGACGCTGTGCATTCTCATGAGCCTCACCCTGCATTGGACGTAGTTGACGTGCATTCATGGCTGCAGCCGCCAGCTTCGAATTCCAGGGGAGGGCCCGGGCTGCTGACTGCGCAGGGCACCGCTGCTGCTCAGAGGGCCAACTGCGTCGCTTTGGGCATGCAGCCCGGGCTCTGCTAAGGTCTGGTGCTGAAGTCAGTCATCCCAATCCTTAGAGTGCGGACCAGCTTTGCAGATCAAACTGCTCATTCATGAACAAAGCCCTAATACAAAAACGCAAGGACCGCCTGAGCTGACGCCTGGCCTTTGCATTTCGGGACCCCGGCACTTCCTTCGTCCAGTCCCAAGTCTCCCAGCACCTCCCTGGCAACAAGGCTCGGAAAAGGGCTTGGAATCTTTAGGTCCAATATAGAGCTTCGGCCTGAAAGGAGGGTTCTATGGCAGAAAGACTCCGCTTGAAGCGGTACGATGAGCGTGTAGCCCGAAAGGATTTCAGGCGACGGTGGTGGGAGCATCACCTTACCCCCGACATGGTCTCATCTGCAGAGGCAGAAACAGCACCTGCTCCCGTCCATCATGGGATCTGGCGGCTGGACCTCTGCTCCGATACGCTTTTGGGTCACTGCTCAGGGGTTTTTGAAGTTTCAGATTCGAGATTTGGCCTCCCAGGAGTTGCTCCAAAAAGGAGGGCTTTAAGATTCAAGGCTTGAGCAGACCCTAAAAGCGGAGGATCCTGCCTTGAACGAGGAGGCTTCCGTAGTGATGCACTACATTGACCTGCGATCTTCGGTCGCCTTCCAGTAGAGAGGCTAGAGACAAGATCAGTGCGTGGGGCTGACCCCGAAATCCAGAAAGCATCTCGCTGCAAGCTTAAACGGCTTCAGCAGCTCATCTGCCCGAACTTCCCTCCAAGCGACCAAAACCTCGAGTCATCACCCCCACACGAACCAGAACCTCCTCGGACTGCTGAGCTACAGTTTGAGGCCCTTTGGCAACTAAGGTATCGCCCACACTTAACCGGACAAGGTCCCGGCTGAGCCGCCACCAGCGGAGTCCTCGGCACTCGAGTCGCGAACGTTGACTGCTATGTTGCAACTCGCATAGCACCACATGTCGCACGACATTAGCACGTTTTACGATCGAGCATGCTCTGCTGTATCCGATGTACACGTTTATGCAAGCTGTGGTATGTAGCGGCAAGTAATGGATACTGCCAGGTGCTTGTCACATCACTCTGCCCTTGGATTTCAAGCAGCATTATACGAAACATCGGCTCAAACTGAGAAAGTGTCAAACCAGGCTCCACGTGCATTCTGCTCCGACATGCGTGCTACGAAAAACTATGTATCCATTCCACCTCGCGGTCCAAGAAGAATTTGAGGCAGGTAGGCAACAAGGGGTAGCACGTAGTAATTGATGAGCAGTGGGTATCGTTGTGTGGCTCAGGGAAGTTTAAGATTCCACCGTTTGCGTGCAGCTGAGAGCACACAGCAGTGTTAGTACCATGCTGTGCAAGACAGCACACTTAGGGAACACCCTGACAAACCTTCGATAGAACTCCAAGAAATAACGCAGAAGCATAACACCGATGAGCAACACCAGATACGGTTTTCGGGTTCAGTGATTCAGCGCATTTCAGCGCTCAAGGGGCCCCTAAACCCTAAACCCGTCTGGCTAGGGAACCGTGAACCCCGAAAGCCCGGCATCAAAACCCGGGTCTAAAACTGCCCGAAACCCAGGAAATCCAGCTCAGAAGGGTTTAGGGTGTGTGGATCAAATCCTGCACCCTGGGCCGTAAACCCCAAACCCCAGACCCGAAGCCCAAGAACATCCATGTTTGCGATCTAAGGTGCAGAATCGAACCCCATCTCAGCCATGGCCGCCCTCACAGAGAGAGGTCTGAGGTCTAGGATGTAGATGTCAGGTTTGCTGCAGGGTGGAGGGATTTGGGGTGGGCGTTTGGTGGGCTGGGGGCTGACAGTTTCGACAGACGTTAGGCCAAGGTTTAGGGCCAGGGTTCCGAATGTGGCATACTTGTGGCTCCGGCGTTTGGTTCAAGGTGAAGGGCGTCGGGGACAAGGCACTGTAACCATGGCCAGAAAATGATCAGTCTCAAAAACACCCTGGTTGGCCTGCATCAAGGAACTGCGATGACCGGCAGAGAGTATGAGGGCCCGTAGTTTGGTCACGTTACCGTGGCAGCTGGCATGAACAAGAACGCCCTGCTTCGCTGGGCACTAGCACTTATGCCAAGTGGGAGCAGGGTTTCAGGTAGCTTCGGGCAAACGGGTATCGCAGTGTCGTAACAGAAACCGAGACCACAACCCCACAACCACCATGGCGAACAGTAACAGGCAAAAGAAGGCCAAGACTCGCAACCCTGAACTCCTCAGAAGACACCCGAAACTCAACACCAGATATGCCTGGACTTCGAAATGCCACAGTAAGCACTACAAAACAACACGACCTGAAACCCCAAACGCTCGTCAAACCCTCATTGCCGACAACTTCCATCAATACCGACACCAGCGGAAGCGTGCCTTCTCGCCGCCTGGGGCATTCGCTAGCCAGGTGCATTAAGCGACTGCTCAGAAACTTGCTGTCGGTTGAAGTCTACAAAGACCTAAAGACGCTCTTTCGATCGTAAGTACAGGCTGGGGCGCACTTGCTAAATATAGGCATGTCTGGGCACGCAACACTACCCGAAGAAGCGCCGATGTCCATGTGGAGTTCCAACTCCTTTACCTATCTGACAGAGGCCTGAACAGCAGACCACCAGCTCAACAACGGACCCTTCAACTACTCCCCTCCCCTCAAAAACCCAAATCTCACGCGCGCGCTTTCCAAGGCGGTACATCAACAGCCAAATCCCCAATCTAGCGATTCAAGCGGGAATGCCACAACCGCACACCGTCAGCAACTACATGTCTCTTATCACGTGACCCTGAAGCAGTGCGCACTTCCGAAGATGCCCGTCGCAAACTCTAAACCCTCTCAAACCCCAAACAAAGGATCGAGAGGGATCTCCATGCCTCTGCTGCTTCCTGCCCCGGTCGCACAGGAGGTGGTGAGGGGCGGTCCTGTTGCATCGCTTGGGTCCAACATAGGGAGCGTAAGGCTTCGGAGATTCTCGGGTTCAGAGAGAGAGAGAGAGAGAGAGAGAGAGAGAGAGACGAAGCTTCGTTTTGGGCTTGAGGGAGTTTTGTGAAACTTACTTGTTTAAAGTGGTGTTGTTGGCGCTTTGGAGTTTGAGGGCTTCACGGCCAGAAAACACAGTCCCTTTCTAATTACACGATATTGTTCTAGTTCTTCCCTTCATTCCCTTGCTGCAACCCCCGAAAGAACCCTTGCAGAATCAGTGTTCAGCCCTGACCATTTGGGAGCAAAAG